ACTGTTACCAACATAAATAGAACTTTATGGCATTATTCCTAAAATATTTTCTACTTGTATTCCATTTATCCTTAAACACCCCTTTTTCTCTTGACAGAGAGTAAAGAAGAGAACAAACACAAGTTCAATATATAGTATATAGATATTGGACATTATAAGATCTCAGACATAAATAAAACCTTTTAACAATTAAATAGAATAATTAGACATGATTCTACATTGCCACCATCATTTCTCTTAAAAATCTGTTGTCATTTTTAAAAAAAAATTTGTTTTATTTTATGCAGAAGAACGAACATACACTCAATTCCGGCATTGAACTTACCGGATCCATCTCTGCAGGAGACTACTCTGGAGTCGCCCACATTGGCAACTAGCAAGCGGTCACCAACCAACAACACAGTTGATGCAGTTGATCCTGCATCCTTTTGTTGTCCTATATCTTCACTGAGGAAATTGGCATCAGTCTGTTTAAATGCTTCAACTACAATATGAAAGGAAAAATAAAAGGAAATCATCGTTACTAGTGATCCATGATTAAATACGTTATGAAAGTAGGCAAAAATAGAAATTTACCAGCATGTTGAGCAAGTACATACCAATAGCTGATTTTGTATCATTAAAAAATCTGGATGATTGCATAAATTGTTAAAAAGGTTGTTCTTAAGATATTCAGCTGTTCTAGGACCTCCATGACCTAAACATGGAACACGAAATGATAAATTAGAATAAAGACACATTACATACAAGGTTTCACAACCTTCCTTTTGGCGAGACAGACAGCTAATGTTTGCATCAACGGTAACAACAAAATAGAAAATTTGTATCTCAGTTGCAGAGACCTTGACATTTAATCTAGAGTAATAAAAGAGGTCTGAACCTACCATCAAAAACACCAAAAAATGCAACCATTTGACCACCAACTTCAGATATCTTTGTCTCAAAATAATCTTCCATTGAGCTTCGTTTACCCTTGAAAGTAGAATATCCATAGCTGAACCTTACATTGCGTTCCCCAGTTAGAAAGCTATCAAAAAAAACAAAGTTCCATCAGTTGTTCAGCCACCCTGAACAATGTTGGAAATAATAATATTAATGTGATGTAAATTACTCAGGCTCATTTGACACGTATGTGTCTAATTGTCAGACACGCCTATATTATGATTTTTTTTTTCCCTAAAGCTCAAGAAGAAGTGTCTAAGTACCATACCAATGTGTGATGAACTACCAATCTGATTTGTGTATTTGTATAAATAAGCAGAAATTTAAGGTTAAAAGCTTGAAATTATATTAAACTTGCTAATGGTTTCTTACAAAAGGGTAGTAGGTTTAGCCTACAAAGCTCATATTAGTGACTTGAGTCACAACTCTCAAAAGGATTCACTCCAAAATTCTACCTACCTATTTCTTTCCCTCCCCTCTCTATTTATACTAAGGACTATTAACCTAGTAAATAATATTACTAGAATAACCTATACTACCCTCCTTAGGTTAGTCTATTACATAATAACAAATGTTGAGTATCTCAGACCTTAGATCAGCTTTATCTTTTTTTTGGGGTGGGGGGTATGAAATATTATTAAGTTCAGCTTTCCCATTACATTAAAGGGCCGTTTGGTTTGCAATAGGGTAAACGGAATGGAATAAACAAAGAGAATGAAAGAGAATGGAATGAAACCCTTTCCATGTAGTATGTTGTTTGGTTACAAAAACAAAGGGAATCACCACCACCACCACACAACCCCTCTTCCCACTTCTCGGCCACTCCACCGCCCAGCACAACCTCACCAACAACCGCCACCCATCGTCGAACTCCCCCACCTTCGCCACCCGTCGTCGCACCTCCCTTACCCCTTACCGCCCGTCGTCGCACCTCTCCCACCCTCGTCGACTCGTGAAACCTTCCCCGCCCACGCAAAACCCTAGAAAACGATCCTCCTCCCTTAAAACTGCCGGTCCCTTCCCCTAGCCGCTAGGGTTTCGAGAAAACTCAATCTTGTCATATAGATCTTGAGGTTCGGCTTTCTGAGTCTAGTCGAGAAACCGCCGTGAGAATTGGGGGAGGAGAGAGAAAATGGCCGAAGCGGAAAAGCGCCGCCGTGAAAAGGAGGAGAGAGATTGATAATCCGATGGTGAAAACGTGGTTCCGGTGAGGAGAGGTGGAGTGCGACGAGTTCCTACAAGGTGGCTTGACGGTGGGGGTATCTGGGTAAGGTAGTTGTTGATGTGGGTATGGTGGTGTAGTGGTGGCTTAGGAAAGGGAATGGAAAAGGCTAGGGGGGTTAAGGAATCAATGTAGAGGTATTTTGGGTGAACTCAAAAATAAAAATAGGTAAAGGGAATGAAAAAAGTGACAAACGGCAACAAAAGAATGAGGCATGTTCATTCCCTTTCCCTTGATTATTAACCCCAACCAAACGGCCCTAAGTATTTAGATAACAACTTCCGTTTTTTTAATACTATCTCTATCAAAAACTTTACGGCATATCTAATATCATTCTAGAAGTAAAAACTTGTTCACTTGTATAACCTTGTTTCTATTACTTCACATAAAACAAGGAAAGTTGGAACATATACTTCATTATCCTACTGCCTCTTCTTAGATTGTTTGATATATTATAGAAAAGGAATACAATATACAATACCTCGTTACCCAAGTGCCTCTCCTAAAACTCTGGCCAATGGTCGGAAAGGAGTAATTTTATATAATTATTAATTTAATTTATTCTTGAACATCAATAGAGAAGCCAATAGCCATAGCAGGCAATTTCCAATTAACACAAAACACATATTAGATAATTTCACTTCCATAAACCATTACACTAAACCACACTATACAAAAGGCCAAAGATAAAAACCAGCCTGCAATAGTGCAATGCAGCTTCAGAAGCCTCTCCAAATTCCTTACCCCTTAGACTTTCCAGAAGCCAATGAAGAAATGAAGTTTGCTAGCCCGGAAACTCAAACGCGCATACAAGTCATAAAAACACCAAAGCAATACAAATCTATTTATTACAGGAACAACACTATTACAATCCCTACTTCAATAAGTGCTCATGGTCGATATCAACACTTCATTAATTATAACATTTTCAAGGTAAAAGTTGTGTACACCACACCTCCACATGCCCAAAATTCCATTCCATCTTCATATACTATATAATTGAAAGCATGCAAATTTGTAAAATAACCAACAAAAGTTCAAAATTTCACATATTCACAACTTAACTAACTCAATATAACATAAAATCAAACCATAATGCATTAATGCTAAACATAACAATCCCACATATTCTTTCAAAAATTAACCCAAGAAAATAAATGCATACATCATTAAGAAAATTTACATCATCCCACAATAACCCATCAACTGAAATTAAAATTAAACCCAAAACATTCTAACCATGAAAATAAATTAATTACCCACCAACAAAAACTGAAAAAAAGGTAAGATGGGAATTAAAAAATGAAAAAAGGAAAGAGAAAAATACCTTATACCTCCACCACTGAAAACAGCATCAGGATCCCGAGTAGTCATGGTGGAAATTCCTGAAATCGGCGTGGAATTCGCGCGGCGATTGCGACCGCGACGACGATGATTTAGGGGAAAATTGAGCATCCCCAGAAAGGAGAAATCGTCGGAGAAGAAGGACCCAATTCAACCAATGATGGCGGAGTAACAAACAACAACGTAGAAGGAGAAGAAGAAGGAGGAGATGAAGAAGAAGAAGAAGAGAGAGAATCAGAGTTCATTGCTTTGAACCAGTTTTTTTTTGGGTGTGATTTTTTAAATGTGATTGATTGATTGAGATATTTAATATTTTGAATGTTAATTTTTTGAAAATTTCTGATCTTTGGTAGGATTTATACTACGTATTTTTTCCTGGGAATTTTCTGAGTTGTAAAAAAAGAAGAAGATTGTATTCAGAATTTTGATAACCAGATTTCACCTGAGAATGCGGGAGATTATTGCAATGTGGATTAGCCGGTTGGTCCACGACAAATGAATAAACTTCTACGATGTGGTAAATTAACTTTCACATGGAATATACCCGTGCTAAATTGCTAATGCATAGTAATTCCTCCGATTTTTTTACTTCATCTTGTTTTACAATAATCGCATATTTTAATTTTTACACTATTTATAATTACAAATAGATTTACAATAATTTTATTGTACATTAAACATTTCATGTGTGTGTAAACTGTAATACAGAGATTTTTTTTTTTTTTTAAATTACCTATATTATCACAAAAGTGACCCTTTTTTTTTTTTTTGCAAAAGTGACCTATATTTTTACAAAAGTGACCCCATATTTACACAAAATTATCCATAATCTCATCAGTTTTTTTTTTTTTTTTCCAAAAGTAACCAATATTTTCACAAAAGTGACCCATATTACTATAAAAGTGACTCATATTTTACTATACATCAGCATTTCGCAAGATTAAACTTAGATCTCCATTTGTTTGAAGCTAAATTATAATACGCAAAACTTAAAAAAACTTAATACATAATAGATTTCCATCATTTATTTGAAGCTAGATTACTAGTCTTTTTCATTGCACAATTTACAAGTTAAAATGTACTAAAAACGATAAAAGAAATGCAATCAAAAATAGAAATCAAAGTTCAACAATAGCAAAATCACATAAATTTTACTGAAATTAAGCAACGTAAAGCAATTCAGAAAACATATTTCCATGTGGTGGATTTGTACTAATCTTCTTTATTGATATGTTTGGAACTTTAACAAACTTCAAAAAATCAAAAGAAAAATGCAGAAAATTAAAAATCGAAATCGAAAAGTAGATTAAAACCTAGAAAATTGAGAAATCGAATTTGTAATGGTGAAAAATTGAGCCCAGAAGGAAATTGAGCTAAGAACAGAAAGAGGATGAGAGCAAAGAGAGAGAAAGAGAAATAAAGAGGAAAGAGAAATGGTTATAATAAAAAATTAAAATTAAAAAAAAAAAAAAAGAAAGTTTGGCTGGCACAAGTGGAGTGAATATTTGGATACTTTTATTTCCAAACAAAGCCCGCCACACAATAATTTAGTGTGCCCCGGCCTTTATTAAACATTTGTCCAAAAATTAATGGTCAAAGTTGTGCATCGATATGTGTATCGGTCAAAGTGTTGCAATTATTATGAAACGGAGGTATTTGAGACTATTCGACTTTTACACTATTAATTCACAAATTATGCTTTAACTAGCTTTTGTGATTTATAGCTATGATAAAATATAGTCAAGTGGGATCTTGTTTGAATCGTCTCAATTTATATTTTATTGATATCCACTTTTTATAATTTTTCAATGTCGAAAATTAGAGATATCAATCGTTAAGATAGTGCATTGGCAAGAGTGATAAAAAAAAGGTCTCAACTAAATAAAAACGGAGGTAGTATAGGATAAGAAAAATTATAAGGAGTTGAATTTATTTTGACCCTACTTTTTACTTCACCTCATTTATGTTGAACTGAAATTATTTTTTATGAATTGAAATTTTTTTTCTTTTTACTGAACTTAAATTATTTCTAGTGAATTGAAATTAATTTTCCTAAACTATGCTATTTTTACTAAACTTAAACTAATTTACTGATCCTCCTCTTCTTGGATTTTTTATCCCAGCACTTTGCCAGACGGTAACTAAACTTATTGTTACTGAACTTAAATTATTTTTACTGTTATCAGTGATTTTTGCAACAAGGCTATTAGTCTAATGCATTTCCCATTAGCTATTATCAGTGATTTTTGCAACAAGGTGTGATTTTTTAGGTCCTTTATCCAAGACTAATGTTGTTATCCAATTAGCTCATAGATCTAGTGCATTTCCCATGGGAGTCATAGAAGATGTACTTGTTCAAGTGAATGAATTAGCCCTTCCTGCTGATTTTTATGTGCTTGATATGGGTGATAGATCTGATAGTGTTCCTTTATTGTTGGGTCGACCTTTTCTAAGGATTTCTAAAACTAAGATTGATGTTCATGAGGGTAATCTTACAATTGAATTTGATGGTGAATTGATTAAATTTAACATATTTGATGTTATGAAGTACCCTAGTGATATCAGTAATGTTAGTTCTATAGATTCTTTTGATGCTATTGATTGGATGGCTCAAGAAGTCTTTGATGAGTGGTGTGAAAACTTGTTTGAAAATGGTGTGTTTGATGATTTCAAGAGCACTGAAATGATAGATTCTTTTGTTGCTTCTTCTGATGTGATGAAATCTGATTTTTCTGATAATACTTCTTTGCCTTCTTCTATGCCTAAATTGATTCCCTCTTGTTTCGGGGTTTTCTGATGTCCTGCGGGAGAGTTACAATTCCGAGACTGGAACCGGACGCCTGTACCTGCAAAATAACGGAGACTCCTGAGAGCTCCGCCTCCAACGGTCAAGTTAGTACCTGATTAAGGAGTAATCAATACAGAAAATAAAGTAATCAGATCTCTCTAGGTGAGAGTGCTTAGTGTTGGTAATCTGTGTTGTTAGCGAGATTAGCCGGTTGTTAATAAGTCTGTTCTTCTCTGCTTGATCTCTTAATTATTCGGTTCTGTGATTAATGAGGATTAATCGAGTATTTATAGCCTTGGGAAGCGTGCAACTCTCTAGGTTTAAGGTAAACCTAGGGCTGATCGGGCCTCTAGACTGAAATGGCCTTGATGGCCGGTTGTCCCATTTGGCATGGGTGGACACGTGGCGTGTCTTAAGTGGTCCGTGGAGGACGTATCTGTGATTGACACGTGGCAAGCTCCTGTTGGCCTTCGTGAAGGACACGTGGCGGAACCTGGTTGGTCCACTTGTCAGACGGTGATTGGTGGATAAAAATCCCCTAATCATTTGCCCCTCACAGGTGGCACGCGACTGGTCACGTGTCGCCTGTGACAGGTGTCGCACGGTGACAGGCGACGGCCCGTTACAGGTGTCACCTTGCAGACGGCCGAGAGATTTTCCCGCCCAATTTTTGAATTTGGAAGCGACCATTCGCCTTCTCATTTTGCCTATAAAAGGAAGTGCTGACTTCGGTCATTTTCACATTTGAGAACTTTTGCGAGAACATTCGGACCCCTGAACTTGCTCTGACATTTTCGGACTTTTTCTGCCTACCGCCTGTTCTGACAAGCCGACTGACCCGAACTTCCAGGACTTCATCAACCGTCACCCGTTCAGGTAACTCAGTTCTCTTACTCTTAATTTTCTTTTTATTTTTTGAAATGGCACCATGGAAGCACACGACACGCCCTAAGTTAGTGATCAGCCGGTCACCGGGGACGGCTGAATCTAGGACTAGGAGTGCCGCCTGCCCTTTTCTGGACCCATCTTTGCCCTTTATACAAAGTCCGACTGAATCTGTGTCTATGCAGAACGTGATGGCCAGAACAAAAAAGACTGCTATGATATCAAACTCAGACGGCTCCTCCCAAAGGGTGCTCCTTAGTGAAACATCTGACCAAGCGCCAGATGTAGAACGAGGCGACTGTCAAGCTGACAGTTCTGAGAGAGGGACCAAGGTGTTCCCTTCCCATCTAACCGTGGACATGTCTAATTTTCCTTCTGCTCCTTCTAAGGGAGAGGAGGCGGGCCCCTCTAGGAGAGGGGAGGAGTCGTCCTCTTCGGACTCGTCAGGGGACGAGTCCGAATCCAGCTCTTCTGACCATAGTTCTTCTGGCTCAGAAGAAAAACATAGCCGCCTACAAGAGGCGAGAAGTTCCCATGCAGTGGAGAAGGGGGATAATTGGGCAGAGCCGTCCGCCTCTTACAGAGAGGAAAACGCCCCCTACTACTGCAGGGTGCCCCGGGGCCGGATCGCAACCATGCGAGACAACGTGGCGAGCTTTATTGCTAACCACAAAATGGGCTCAGAGTATTTACTGTTTGTGCCGGATCCAGAAGATACTGTCGTCTGGCCGGCTGGTACCAGCTATGGTGACGGCTGCTTTGGCTGCTATGTGGCGGCCATCAAAGCTGGACTGCGCTTCCCATTACATCCGGCTGTTCAGCGGATTTTAGATGGGTATGATCTGGGGTTATGGCAGTTAGCCCCCAACTCTTGGGTTAACGTACTCGGCTATGTGGCCGGGTGCGAACTGAACGGGGTGGAGCCAAGTTTTGAGGCTTTCGCCCACATGAACTATCTCAGCCGGACCCCTAAGTCGGGAGGTACCGGCTGGTATCAATTAACAAGCCATAGGGGTTACCTCATGACGAGAGGTAAGGCAAACAAATGGAAGGATTGGCGGAACACCTTCCTTATTATCGAGAGTTCAGACACGGAGCTGAACAAACGTTTTAACAAGTGGAACAGGGATCCGCCTCTTCTCGCAGGCGGCCGCAGCATGCCGCTTGTTCCCCCAAAGGCTAAAAAAGAGATCCTAGACAAAGGACTCTTCAAAGTAGAGACTAGGGTGAACTCTACTTCAGGGGTACGAGAGCAAGTACCCCTAAACTGCGTCCCGAGCTTCAAGTGGCTCTATGACGAGTACTTCTTGGCCGCCTGTGGCCTCGGCAGTCGGTGCTCTAGAGGTAGCCGGCCTGACGAATACTCTGTTTTTT